TTTCCTTTGTGTTTTATGTAAAACGACTTACGGATTCATTTTCAGTAGGTCATTTTCCGAACTTTTCACTTCAAAGCAAAAATACTCAAAATAATTTTATTTTATGAATTTAATATTAATAAAATATTTTAATAACATTTTCATCAAAATATTAATTATTAAAATATTTAAAATATATTTATTAATATTTATAATAATATAATATTATATTTTTAGTTTAATAATATAATCAATTATATTATAATAATATAAGATATTATATTTTTTATTTTAATAATATATAATAAATTTTTTTATATATTTAATAATGAATAATATTATTTATATATGTAAAACATATACTAGTAAAGATATTTAAAATATACTAATTAATATTTTTAAAATATAATATAACACTATTACTTTAATAAATAATTAATATAATTTATAATATTTTATTTCACTAAAATATACCAATATTAATATTTTTTATTAATAAAATTATAAAAAAATATTTAATAATAAATAAATTATTTTAATATTTTAAAATAATAATATTAAGTTTTATGAGAAATAATATTATTTATTATATTTAATATTTGTAATAAATAATTTTTAAAAAACTCTTCAACAAGTGGAAAAAAGGTTTAAATAATATTTTCCAAACATCATAAAACGTTTTCCAGATGTTTTCCAGAAATGTAATTCATTTTCCAAAATTCAAATTCCAATAATTCATTTTTCAGTAATTCAAATTACAGTAATTCAAATTCCAGTAATTCATTTTCCGGAAAACCAATTACAGGCAAACAAACAGACCCTTACTCAAATTAACAATGTTTTAAACAATTTAATGCTTCACTTAAATATTTCTCAATTATTTAAGCTTACCTGAAGAAACCTCATAATCATCACTAGATTCAAAAATCTTCTCTGGATCCTCATCCGATTAAACTTCTCTTGTATGTCGTTCAAACTTTTTAATGGATTCCTCAAATGCAAAAACGTCATTAAATGTTGGGGCATTCCTTCCATAGAATAGAGGAAAATCCCTAACAGATTCTACTTCTAAGGCGTGATACTGAAATCATGTCGGATTCTCCTAGGTCGATTTTGATCTCGACCTTCCTTTTAATATTATCAACTTTCTTACCTTTCTCTTTAGTTTCTGACATCTATTAGGACATACATAATAATAACACTCAAGTTAGTAAGGAGTGACATCAATCACACTCTAATTGACATCATATCAATAACTTTGATAATCTTAATAGCATGTAATCCTTTTTCTCAATTCAATTAAACCCAGTTTCGGCCGAGAATTAGCTAAACATGTAGCTCTAATACCAATAAATGTAACACTCATTTCCATATACATTTCCATACATAAGTCATAGGTGTCACATGGCTTTTCAAAACATTCACTTATTTGTAAAAACCCATAAAATTTTGTTTTGAAATTAAAAAATCATTTTATTACAAAAATAAAACATTCTTTGAAACATATTACTAAAAATTATCACTTTAAATACATTCCATAGTATTTTTATTAAAGTCGATTACATGCCAACTAATTTTCAAACTAAACATGATTGTCCTACTATTATTGATGAGAGTCAACCTTCGATTGATGATAGCTGCTACTGCACCCCTTACCTGGCTATTCTTTGTTTTTACCTACGCGTAAAATCAACAAACATAGTATTTACTTAGTGAGACATAATATTATAAAGAATATGCAATTTATACATAAGTATATCATGGCTATTTAATTACGAACTAAATCGCATACTCCATAAGGATCATATAATTCCTTCTCAGTTAAACTAAATTGCTTTCATACAATCATCGAAATTATTCTTAGTATGCCCAACACACCTATTTTTATGCATATTTTTCCCAATTATTCTTTATTTTCCATGTGGATGTTAAATGAGAAAGTAATGTATATGCATTGCACCAAAGTGCCAAATGGTCATTTATCTTTTATAAATACCATAAATGGCACATTTTATGTCGTTAGTACACCGTTATGTATTTTCAATTGTGGCATCCTTTCATGATGATTATGCACCATCATGTATTTTCATTTATGGCATCCTTTCATGTCGATAATGCACTGTTATGCATTTTCATTTATGGCATCCTTTAATGCCGAAAATGCACCATTTGTCATTTAACTTGCATTAATGGCACCTTTCCACCAAAAATGCATCGTTAGGCATTTAACTTGCATTAGTGGCACCTTTTTGCCAAAAATGCACCATTTGTCATCTAACTTACGTTAGTGGCACCTTTCTATAAAAAATGCACCATTTGTCATCTAACTTGCATTAGTAGCACATTTCTGCCAAAAATGCACCGTTAGGCATTTAACTTGCATTAGTGGCACCTTTCTGCAAAAAATGCAGCATTTGTCATATAACTTGCATTAATGACACCTTCCTACCAAAAATGCAGCGTTGGACATTTAACTTGCACTAGTGGCACCTTTCTACAAAAAATGCACCAATTTTCATCTAACTTGCATTAGTAGCACCTTTCTACCCAAAATGCACTGTTAGGCATTTAACTTACATTAGTGGTACCTTTCTACCAAAAATGCACCGTTAGGCATTTAACTTTCATTTTAGAGCATTTCCTACTCTAAAACTTATTCATAATATCATTTCCATACAAATTATAAACATATATTAAATACTGTAAAACATACATTAAATCAAAACCTTTGAGATTGACTCATTGCGAGTCTCCTTCATCCTATATAATTACCATAGATGCACTAATATGATATACCTCCCTAGTATATTGTAATGAAGTCCAACTACTCGATAACTATATCATTTCCCTTTTTTTTTGCTTGACTCGGGAGCTTGGTTATGATCTACACAAGCATCCATTAACTACTCATTCAATACCAATGTTAGTATACTCTCTAACTTTTATACTTTAATAATACTCAAAAGTACTATTATTTTCAATTTCTATTACAATTTCAGGCTCAATAGTATCAGTACCCCTGCCATGGTATCGATACTTCTATACTATAATACCGATACTCCCTTTCAGCATCGATACCATTTCTACATTCTGGAATCCATGGTATCGATAACTTTCTCTTAATATCGATACGCACATCAGTATCGATACTGTTCATCGTAATTCTTCAAATTTAAACCTATAGTATCAGTACTGTTCTACAAGTATCGATACCACTACCCGGATTTTCCATTTTTCAGCAAACTTTTTTACCAAATTTTCATTTAATTCTCTTACTTTTACCTCTAACAATACCCTTAAACTTAACATCACTTAATCCAACTAACTTTCCTTCATTTAGCTTCTTATAACATCCAGATTCTCTAAAGAACATCTCAAACCAAGAACCATACTACTTTTTCTAACATGATTTTAATTACATTCAATGCTTCTAATCTCTTATTTACTTCTTTAACAAGTCAAATATACTAGTAAATCTCAACAAAAACTCATATTTCAACATATAATTCAAAAACCCACTTTCTTCAATCTCAAATAAATCATACATCTCTTAGTTTTAATTTTATTTAACCATTCCTTAAGACTCTATAACACTCAAGGTTTCAAGAGCAAACAAAAAACGAAAAGAAAAGCTAGCTAGATGAAGCCATACCTTTGGCAATGGAGGATATCACTTTCAGGGGGAAGAATAAGAGAAATATCTTATTGTATTGTTCACTTCCCCATTTTCCCCTTTTCTTAATCACATTAATTAAAATGGATTTTAAATCCATTTCCTTCTAAATGACCAAAATACCCTTTTATTATTCCATTCACTACTTGAAAAACCCCCTTTAATGATGCTCATTGCGCGTCATCTGTGGGTGCAAATGACACACAAATGTGCGTCATTGATGCCACCATCATAAATCTCATATGACACGCAATTGTGTGTCATAAATCTATGACGCACATTTATGACACGCATTTATAACTCACATTTATGACGCGAATTGAGCGTCATTGAAGCCGCCGTCATAAATGAAGATGACACACATTTGTGTGTCATAATTTTATGACACGCATGTATGACTTATATTGAGTGTCATTGAAGCCCCCGTCATAAATGAAGATGACACACATTCGTGTGTCGTGTTTGTATTTCGTAAATTATATATATATATATATAATAGATAAATAATCAAACTAAATCACATTTAATGCCTCATAATACTAAATATATATATCATATTATATATAAGAAATCTATTTGCATACAATATATTCACATTAACTTATCAAAACTATTGTAATCATATGTCGATACAAAATATCACAGCAAAATAAAATTTGCCACATAAGATACCCATTCTTTGCGATTATCATCATCCGTGTATTCTTTCTTTCCATCGCCAACCTAAGTAAAAAATATGAAAAAAGTATATAATTTATACTTATTTAAAGTAAAGTATATAACTATCAAAGAGTACTAAAATGACCAATTTTACATATGCATTCTTTGAAGCACATGTAAAAATAAATTTTACACATTTAATTAGTAAAACTTCCCATATAAATTATATACATTATCACGACATGAATTTACTGTTTTCAGTCTTGCTAACAAGTACTTGCATTAATTTGTTTAGAATAGCATCCTATTTCAAGTCCATATGATAGTTGTATGACTAATGTGTATGTATGATATGATAGATGTGTATCAGAAAAGTTTTTACATTCTTATTGACCAGCACTTCAAGTCCGTTCTCAACTATCTCTTTCATGAGCTTACAAACATAATATCCACACTCGGTACCTCCCGACTAACGGGGACACTACAAACAGTTTATAATAAACAATTAGTCAAAGAAAACAAAGAAAATACGACATTAAGAAATAAAATATAACCATTATTATAAGATAATAAACAAACTCTGAAAGTTACAAATCTCCTTAAATGAATTCAACAATAGTCTTAGTTCACATAAAATTAGTTACTGCTCCCTAGTCAGATTAGCCATGAACTGTACTATCTATGCTGCACAAAAAAGAATTGAACCCAAAGCCTATGTCTCTCCACCAAATGCATCTAATGTCTAGGTAAGTTGCAATGACTTTACCTTGCAGCAGATGCTACTTTAAACCCATAGTACTGCAGCTTTATTTTCCTGAAACCCTCAGTTACAACAACTGCCCACATGGTGACTACAGTAAAAAGGCCTAATAGAGCAAGCATGTACTCCCACCAACTCACGGCATTTCATGTGGATGCAAGAAACCAATAATGATGCACACTGAAAAAAATGCAGAAGACACGTATAGTTGATGTCCACATCAACAGAAAACCAAGGTCGTTGCAATTGAGCAAATAATCACTAAAAGACTAGTGTACATATACAATTTTCACACCACTTTCCTCACCTTCTTATGACCCACATACGGAATTACTTTAATTGAAATAGCTACAGAATGTACTCTTTACAATGAAATCAAATTTTGGTACCACAGCTTTAGGCTGCCTACCTAGTCAAACTTAATTTGTTAATAACCGCTTAGGATATTTTTACTTATTACTAATAAGAATTTTGTATAGAAAACAAAAATCATGAAATCATTTTTTTTACTTTTAAAACGTGACAGTTTTTGAACTAAAAAGTTATAATTCTGACAAAAGCTCCACCCAACTTAAGAAGACGACCTTAGTCAGCACATGTGGCATACCTGAGAGTTGAGTCAACATCTCATACAGCGTATCTGTGTATTCAGTTAAAATTCCAACACATATAATTAGAGACGAACCTTGACCTGAAACACACAAGCAGTGAATTAAGAATGCCACAATACTCAAAACATCGCAGTAATGTGCAACTTCATCACTTTCAAAATGTAAGAAAACGGGATCTTTAAAAAGCACACCAATTTTATATGAACTTTCCTTGACTTTGGACAAGGTGAAAGGCTGAAACTTTTAATGAATTTCTATTACTTCTATAATCTTGGATAAAAGCATATTTCTCGTCTCAAGGTGAACATATGAGAAGAATATCACTATTATCTATTATATCCTCCAATCCAACATAAGGTCTCTGTACATCGAATAAACTCTTTTGATTTAAGCTCTATTTCCAGAGTTTTCCTCATTATAGATTCTAGAGAAAATATCCACTAGCTTTACATTTATTCGGTCAGTTACTCAATTGTTCTTATTAAATTAAAAACTTGTCTGTAACAATTGAAATAAATAAGGAGTAAATGTAATAAGAATGATACCAAATTCGGATTCTGATATTGTATCACATATCCATGTCATAGTCATTGCACCACAAACCAAAAGTAAAGCAGTCACCATCACATGCTTAACCCTACAAAAACCATAAGAATTTAGTTTACAAATAAAAGCTCAAATATATGGCATAGATGGAAAAAATGAATAAAGAAAATGTGAAAATTATGTTTAAGTTTTATTCCAGGAAAAGGCTGAATACACATCATATCCTGCCAATTTCTTGTGAGAAACAAAAGTATCAGAGTCTTGTACAACCATTATGCCTTAAAAGAACATAACAACCATCCTCAACATCTATCTATCTATCTCCACTTAAACATATAACATGAGGGTGGAAAATAGATTTCATAGCATGAAGTGTAGAAAAAATATGGAATTTAAAAGTTTACACAATCATGTAAAACAAATCTTATATGACCAAAGAAAAATTACAAACCTGCATAATTATGGATGCAATGATCTGAGGGCTGATACCAAGCTGAAAAAATGACAGTTTAAGTCCGCAGAAAAATCACCCAGATCATCTGCCAAAAGCAAAATAGAAGACCAACACTTCTTTGTCCACGTAAACATGTCTATTTCTAACAATATCAAACAAACTGCTATCACATCATTCACTTTTCTTTTTAAAATTAATTGACATGTCTTGCCAAATATTACAAAACTATTTGAGGATTAAGGTTCCACCGCATTTAATGAAACTAAGTTGATTATACTACTATGAAATAGAAATTAAATTACAGTTCCTCAGTGTTTATTTCTAAAGAATTCAATTTCAAAAATGTGAAAAGTCAATTCAAATAAATACTTAAAAGATTAATCATTAAATGGATGAGAAAGCATTTCAAATGCAAGTAGTCTAATAACAACTGATTGTAGAGCTGGAAAATTAGAAAGTACATAAATTTCAAATCTAGAAATAGCAAGTGTAACAATACATGGTGTTTCCTAGCCTTGATCAATTTGATACGAACTCCTCTGAAAAACAATTACCGAAATGTTAAAACCCCATGAAACTGACATAAAAATGATAAAGTTTCCCAAATAATTGCATTGAGTAAGCACGGGAATCATTACTAAAAAACAAGTAAGCTATATCCAGCCAATTACCCATTGTCCACGAAGGAAATGATGGCTTGTAATGTAGCTGAGAAACCAGCTAGTTTGTGTTCATCTCTATATCTAGAAGTGAAATGTACAAAAGAATTAAAGTAGGATCCGTTAGCAAGCCGTTCATTTTATTTGTGCAGATTTTGCACCTTCATGTGTTAGCATTTCTAGGAACTACTAACACACCTGGAATATATCGGTTTACCATAATTACTCAAAATAAAGAAGTGTTTCTTCCTCTTTCTCCATGCTATCGAACTATCATCCTGCACTTTATTCCTAAATTAAACATGATGCAATATAGCAAAGATTGTTTGAAGTTGCTTCTTTCTTTTTGTTTCCAAATCAAACCATGAAAGGCTAATAATTCTTACACTCAAACAAAAAAATCGTTATTAACTGATCCAAATTCCAAAACCTCATAAATATTCCCAACTTTAAATTTGCTGAATTCGATGAAAAACAAGCTAAACCATTTTTTTTTTGTTCAACAAGGAAAAAGAACTGGAATGGCTAACCTCATCAACATGGCGTTTACCCAGAACCCAAGGGGAGGCCTGATTAACGGAGAATCCTTCGAGGAAACCATGGTTCCTTACTTCATGAATCTCATTACCATCAATTTCACTCGCTTCATCGATCCTAGACTCGCTCTTGGCACTACTACTTCCTCTCTCACCGGCATATCCACTACTGGTAGAACTAGAGGGCCTTTCGTCGCCTAGTATATCCTGATTCTCCATGATTAATTGGTCGTCTTCTTCATCATCGTTGTCTCTCTCCCGATTCAATGATGCATTCTCAAAGTCATCGCCATTTCCACGACTAGGTTCAGCGAGTGTCAACAAACCAAAACGTTGGCCAACCGGACTAAGATCAGAATTTTGGTTTAAGCCGGTAGAGTTATCAAGAGAAGACGAAGATGAGGTAGAATCCCACGATATTTAGTTTTACCCTCTGGGAAAATCAAAATCCAGGATTCAAAATCCAAAAGCAAAACCGAAACGGTGCTCAACACTTCTTTGTTAATGTTCACTCCTTTAACTTCTAGATTTTTCTAAAGAACCAAACAGAGGAAGACTAACCTGGAATTTTAAGGGGTTTTGGCGATAAGAGGCTAGGGATGAGGCGATGAAAGCCGAGAAGCATTGCTTCCATTGTCCACTGATGCAAAGAGAAAAAGGGAAAAAGAAAAAAAAAAAAAAGGAAACATGCGTGCGTGAACTGATTATCGAGGAGGCCATGACTAGAAGCCAGAAAGGATGAAAATAATGAGGGAAAATTAAAAGATCACTTTTAAATATTACATAATTAAAAGTGTATTTCGTAATTTTGTTAAATTTTTTGGATTATAACTATTAAATATGACACATATTATTGTAAGTCATAAATCATTCAGATTTTAAAAAACATGATATTTTTTATGACACATTTTTTGCAAGTCATAAATTAGCGTGTGTCATCGCTCGTGTGTCATTAAAGGTATATTTTCTTGTAGTGATTCCTACTAATTGGTCTTAATCATAATTTCTAAATCATAATTTCTAAATCATTTTCTTATACTTTACCATTTATTTAATTTAATCCTCCAAATTTTTAAATCTTTTCAATATAGTCACCGACCTGATATTTCGGGTATTAAATCTCCCCTAAATCTAGGGTTTGGTCGAAACTTTATAGGTTTATATAACCATGTACAATTAATTTTAATTATTAATCATGCTTGGAAATGATTCTACAACCTGAAAAACATCAAAATCCTTCAATTACATACACCCTAATGTAAACATAAATACTAGAATTTGGGATCTTTGAACACAAACCAAATTAGCAAACAATAATGGTACCAAATGATAGTGTTTTTCGAATAGAATAATTTTCTATTTCACGGCATGATCCAAAATCCAAAGAAAAATGCTCAAAAATGGAAAATAAAAATTCTCTTACCTTTTTCATGGGGAACACGAAATGTTGGCTGAAAATGGCTAAGTTTTCATGAAGTTTCTAATGAATTTCATGTTAATTTAACCTTTATTTAAGCTTAAATGAATAAAATATTCATTTAATGAGAAATGTCTATTTTGCCATTAATGAAACTTGATATTTACAATAATACCAAGCCACATAATCTTATAATCTATCCAAACTCAAAGATGAACAAAATATTTTACCCTTTTTCAATTTTACCAAGCAACTTTCCAAAAATTACAATCTTGTCACTTTGATCCAACGGTCCAAATTAAACATGGAAATAAATTCTCAAATCCAATGATCCATATTATTTCCATTCATTTTAACATGTGGAGATAATATTTCTAAGCTTAATTTATCATTCTTCAAATTTCCTCAAAATTTTTATTCAATTTGATTTACCGAATTTTTACCGGACTTTAACACTTTCTAATTTTTAACAAAATTTCCAAATCAAGAATCTGATTTCAAAAAACCCCAATCTCAAGAGTAAACTATCTATTTATGAAATAAAAATTCTTTTTGAGAAAATTACTACTCAGGTCCTTCAACTTTTCCTAATTTTCTATTTTGGCCCCCAAACTTTCAAAATTTACATTTTGGTCACTAACCAAAATGTTGGGTTATTACACTATTATTTTCTTGATGGTTATAGCGGGTATAATCATATTGTTATAGCTTTGAGCATCAAGGAAATACTACCTTTACTTGCCCATACAGAACTTTTGCATATCAAATAATGTCGTTCGGTCTTTGCAATGCTCCAACAACATTTCAACGCTGCATGATGAAAATATTTTATGATATGATTGAAGATTGTTTGGAGATATTTATGGATTTTTTTTTTCAATTTTTAGGCAGGACTTTGAGCATCGCTTTGCTAATTTGGCCATTGTTTTAAAGCGTTGTGAAGAAACTAACTTGGTTTTGAATTGGGACAAATGTAATTTCTTGGTGGCCAAGGGTATAGTGATGGGCCATCATATTTCTCAACATGAAAGTGAAGTAGACAAATCCAAAGTTAAAGTTATTGAAAAGTTACCTCCTCCCACCAATGCTAAGGATGTAAGAGTTTTTTAGGACATGCATGGTTTTTACCGAAGATTCATCAAATATTTCTCTCACATTGCGAAAACCTTATGCTCATTGTTGGAGAAAAATAAGAAATTCGAGGGAGATGTTGAAGTCCTTATTTCTTTTGAGACCATCAAATCGAAGTTGATCAATGTTTTAATTGTCATAACACCAGACTGGAGTTTACCCTTTGAATTAGTGTGTGTTGTTAGTGATCATGTTGTAGAAGCTTTGCTGGGGCAACGTAAGGAGTGAGTATTCCATGTTATTTATTATGCTAGTTGGACATTGAATGATGCTAAAGTCAATTACACCACAACTGAAAAAGAACTGCTTGTTGTGGTGTTTACTTTTGACAAATTTTGTCAATACTTGGTAGGAATCAAGCTAATTGTTTACACCAACCACTCGGCTCTGAAGCATTTATTTGCTAAGAATGATACTAAACTGAGATTAATTTGACGGGTGTTATTTATTCAAGAATTTGATATTGAAATTCGAGATAAAAAAGTGTCTGAAAACCAAGTGTCTGATTATTTATCCTACTTGGAATCCGAAAGTGAGGATGGTAAGAAACCTGTAGCGCCGAATATCTTTCCTAATGAGAGGTTGATGGCCATCAATGCTCTACCATGGTATGTAGACTTTGTGAATTTTTTAGTTAGTGTTATGCTACCACTAGATCTTAATCGTCAAATTCAAAAGAAATTTATTCAATATATTAAAGCCTACTTTTGGGAAGAGCCTTACCTCTTTAAGTAATGTAACAACCAAATTTTGATGCGGTGTGTTCCCAAAAGTGAGCAACAAAGCATTATGCATCATTGCCACAACGCACCACAAAAAGGGCACTTTGGGGGAATGTGTATATCAGCAAAGATCCTTTAGTGTGGTTATTATTGGCCCTCACTATTCAAGGATGCTAATGACTTTCTACAATATTGTGATCACTGCTAGTTAACAGACATCATTTCTCATCGTAATAAAATGCCAATGTACCCTATATAGGTGATTGAACTCTTCGATGTTTGAGGATTATGTGTCCAAGTGGGTTGAAGCTGTAGCATTACCTTCAAGTGATGCTAAAGAAATTCTCTGATTCCTACATAAACATATTTTTACTCACTTTGGAACACAAAGAGCCTTTATTAGTGTCCAAGGTTCCCAATTTATTGGTCAACAAGTAGCAAATGCTCTACAGCATTATAGAGTCAAATATCAATTGTTACAACATATCATCCTTAGAAAAATGGTCAAGCCAAGGTCACTAACCGCGAAATAAAGCAAGTCTTGGAAAAATAGTGAATCCTTCAAGGAAGGACTTGTCATTACTTCTTGAGGAAGCTTTATGGGCATATAGGACAATCTATAAAACACCTTTGGGTATTGAAAAAGCTAAACTTTGATCTTGATGTTTAGGAAACAAATGAATGCTAGACCTTAATGAACTTGAGAAGCTTTGAAACAATGCTTATAAGAGTGCCATAATCTATAAAGACA